GTGTGTGTGTGTGTGTGTGTGTGTGTGTGTGTGTGTGTGTGTGAAGGCCCAGCGTCAGCAGCTTATATAACTGAGTGGTTGTACTGCTGCTGCTGAAACAGTGATGTCACAGAGAACAGGCCAGCGTTCCTTTACACCATGTTATGTTTTCCCGTTGATACTTTGTGCAGCGCTGCTGAAGGCTTAAACAAAAAATGGGCCTTTTGTTTTGAGCAGCAGGATGAAGGTTTCAACTGTTTCACTCTTTTGTGTGCCGTCTGGTTTCTGCTTCATTTAAAAGCAGAGATGCTTCTGATTATTTTTATTTCTAGAAGATAAAAGAAAAACAAACCTTCATTTTTTTTTCACCACTAAAAGTGAAGGTGGCTTGTGTCTGTGTTTGTTTGTCTTGTAGTGTTAGAAAAATTGCTCATGAAACCAATGGCCAGACAATTTTCAATAGAAGGATCCAGACTGAGACCACTGCTTACAGTACACAGGGCTGGCCCAGAATTTTATTTTATTTTTGTCATACACAACATGTTGCTGAGGAGGATCTAGATGTGTTTCTTGGTTATTCCCTCAATTACGTACACGGACAGTGACTGTCATGCAGACGTACACATGCATGCAAAATAGCACTGTTGTTTTTCCCAAGGTAAAAGTAAATAAATTAACTAAAGATTTATCACCATAGTAGACCAGAAACAGAAAAAAGGTCACCAAACATCTTTCTTCTCCCAGTTGCGTGCCTTTGACTCTTGCTTCTGTGTAATACTGTCATGTGACTTACAACATAAGCATTTTCTCCATTTTACAAAAATAGTAAACAGTAATCATATTATGGACTCCACTAAGGTTGCCATTTGTCACCACTCAGTTCATAACTTAGGTATGTGAACAGAATTTCTAGGCACAACCAAGGTGTTGAGGGGATCCATTTTGGTGACCTTAGGATCGCATCTCTGCTTTTTGCCGAGGATGTGTTCCTCTTGGCTTCATCACATCGTGATCTCCAGCTTTTGCTGGAGCGGTTCGCAGCCAGGTGTGAAGCGGCTGGGATGAGGATCAGTGCCTCCAAATGTGAGACCATGGTTTCGAGCCTGGCAAGGGAGTGCCGGGTCGGGGAAGAAGTCCAGCTCTAAGTGGTGAAGTTTAAGTATCTTGGGGTCTTCTTCATGAATGAGGTTAAATTGAAGTGGGAGATCAATAGGCTAATTGGTGCTTCATCTGCAGTGATGCGGGCGCTGTACCGGTCTGTCGTGGTGAATCGAGAGCTGAGCCAAAAGGCAAAGTACATTCCTTACCCTTACACCCTTACCCATAGCCATGAGGTAGTGAGTGAAAAAACAAGATTGAGGATACAGGCGGCCGAAAAGAGTTTCCTCTGCAGGGTGTCTGTGCTGTCACTTAGAGATAGAGTGAGAGGCTCAGTCATCCAGGAGGGACTCAGAGTAGAGCCGCTGCTCCTCCATGTCAAGAGGAGCCAGTTGAGTTGGCTCGGGCATCTGGTTAGGATGCCTCCTGGACGCCTCCCTGGGTGTTGTGGGCATGTCCCACCGGGAGGAGACCCAGAGGAAGACCCAGGACACGCTGTAGGGACTAAGTTTCTTGGCTGGCCTGGAAACACCTTGGGATTCCCCCAGAGGAGCTGGTCCAAGTGGCTGGGGAGAGGGAAGTCTGGGTCTCTGTTTAGGCTGCAGCCCCCACGACCCGACCCCGGATAGGCGGAAGATAATTGATGGATGGATGGATGGATGGATGGATGGATGGATGGATGGATGGATGGATGATATTAACTGTTGGAACAGGCCGCTTATCAGTTGACATGCATCCAAACATTATAATAAAATCTAAAAGAAAAAAAATATCAAGACCATAATGAGAACAAGCCACTCGTTGACCTCCAGTGTTGCCAAAAAGACTGTCACGCTGTCATTTCTCATCAGATGATCTTAATCGTTATGAGACAGGTGTTGGGCAATATGCATTCCTTCAAAGAAAGTTAGGCCTTTAACTATTCATGTTCTCATGCTAAGGTGCAACGTTGTATTTTAAGATATTAAAAATGGAACAAAGGCACACTGAATTAAAACAACACAACTTATTTGGTGGACAACAGACGGACTGAAATACTTTGTTGTTTGTCAATCTTGGGTGTTTGGTGGGGGGGGTCACTATCCTGTTAGATAACCCACAACCAGTGACTTAGACAAAGATTTCTGATACTCCGGAATGCCTTGGTAGTCTTGAGATTTCATTGTATCCTGCTCAGATTCAAGACCCTTTTGCCAGAACATAACCGAGCCTCCATACTGATTTTTTTGTATGTTTCATTTTTGGGTTTGTGAACATAGAGCTGATCGGACCTGTTGCCAAAAAGGTTAAGCTTTGTCTCATCTGTCCAAATAACATTCTTCCAAAAGCTTTGTTGCTTCTCAATATTCATTTTGGAAAATTCCAGTCTTGCTTTATGATTTAGTGTTCTCCTCAGTTGTCTTCTATTAAGTCTACTTTGTACAGCGACATATGGTGTGATCTGTCACTGATGTACCTTGACCTTGGAGTTCACCTCTAATCTCTTTGGAAACTGTTGAGCACTTTCATCTTTTCAGTTTCTTCAATTTGCCCTTGATTTTCTTTGGTTACAGTCCTGTGGACCTTAAACTTCAGAATATGTGTTAATAATGTCACAATAATTATCCTGTCTTCCAACAGGATAACTACCCAAATCATACACCATGAGGACACTTGACATGTCATTATGGTCAAATTATAATCATTTTTAATAATATAATTTAATCAGTCATTTCTAGTGGTACTGTTGATTTTGTCAAGATCAGTTTCATTTGTCTTTTTTTTCAGACTACATCTGTTAAACTTAAATTTTAATGCAGTGACTGATTTTCATTAGTTGATTAGTAATATTTTTATTATAAGTAATTTAGTGATCTTTTGCAGGTTTTATTTTTTAATTGAAAGCATACAAAGTCAGTTTTATTAAATTGTATTTCTGAACAACACCTTAACATATTCCCAATGTGTTGCTTTGACTCATTCATGCATGTTTGAGATATCCTTGAATCTCCTGTGATAGCCATGTGGAGCCGCCTAAAGCACATTTGCTGTGGTTTATTGGGGCTGAATGGGGACACACACTTTTGAAAAAAAACAGGATGGGTCTCAATTCATGGGTTGCAATCGACGTAGACCGTGGCCAACATTGGCTACAGTCTCTGTGGGCCATAAGCCGCTCATGTCGGCTGCATAAACGGCTAGGAAATGAGATGGTCTAGTCTACAAAAGACGTATATTTGGGTGACCACACACTGACCACTACTATGGTGATACATTTTATATATCATCGCTTCAGTAGTTTTTTTCAAGGTATAACTTCTTAAAATGCAACTTCAATAGAAATATGTTACAAGTAAATAAATGAAAAGCATTGATAATTTGGGTTTAGCTCCAGTATCAGTACTTGTAACTGTGTTTTATTTAACATCTTATTACAACAAATGTTTCTTTAGCTAAGTTGTTTAACTTACATTTTTCAGTCCGTGATAAATTTCCAAACTTCGTCGTAGAACCCCCTCCACCCTCAAAAAAAAAAAAACCTATATCGTTTTTTGTTTTTGTTTAATTTGCTGATGGTGCAATGAATTCAGGGATAACATCGGCCTCATAGGATACTCACGCACAGTTTATGTTTTTGGGGTTTTGTGGACTGCATTTGTCGGTCGCATGAGTATGCACCTACGAATTAGGACAGCCTAGTGCGTGGGGCAGTGATGTAAGTGGCCGACCAATGTGAACGACATTGAAAGATAGTAGATAATTTAGGCGTGTTCATTTACCTTAATACGTGTTCGTAACCAGATAGACAATGCACCAATAATTGAATGTTTGAATGTGAAAAGAGTTATACAACCACCAGCGCTGGATTGAAAAGCAGGTTTATTATCTCAGTAGCTCGTCTCTGCATTCGGCCATGAAACCAGGAAGTTGTGTTACCTATAACAACTTTGTTCAGAATCTGACCCCGACTACTAAGTTTGGCATCACTGAGGCGGGAACACTATCCTCTTGAGATAATTCCTCTTTCAGCTAGTGTTTCTTTTACATTCAGTCACTATGTGTTGAATATGTGTTCAGGCATGTACAGTAGCTACTTGTTATACTTCCTACTCTGGGTGACCATATCGTCCGGCCATCCAGACCAGTCTGTGCATAAAATCACCAGTTTAATCACAAAAATATTCACACATTGGTATATAAAACTATATCATGTTTCACCTAAGAAAATACTATAAAACGTGTAGTGCTTTTTAAAAGTCAGTAGTAAACAACCCCAATAAATTTCTTCAGGCTGCAACCCATGAATTGATACACAGCCACAGTATCACCAAGTTGATCAAGAAGGCCTTTTCTGTTGTTGGTTTGGAACAGGACACAGTCCAACACATGGAGAACACTCCCAGAGCTCAGTTTTGGACAATCTGAAGCACCCTCTCCACACTCTGTAGGTGCTCCAACTCAGCACCTTCACTCATAGACTAATCACCTTCGATGAAAGACAGACTGATTCAGGACTTGTTTCCTGCCAAATAGCAGCTGTTTAATGCAAACTAACTTGGTTTTGGTGATGTCTGCTGTAAAAAATGTAGTTTTTATTTTCTAACAGAATACTTTGTATTTGCTTTTGCCCAACAGGTTCCCAATGTTGAACATGTCCACCCCTAGTGAGCTGAAGTCTACCTGCGTGACTCGCAATGGAATGGTGAAGTTGCCCCCCAGCCAGCCTAACGGCCTAGGGAGTGCAAGTATCACCAAGGGAACACCTGCTGCTAAGAACCGCCTTTGTCAGTCGTCCTCCGTACCTTCCATCTTGCCTCCTCCTCCATCCTCCCTTTCTTACCATCATCACCACCACCATTTGGATGGCCCTGGCATGCCTCATGCTGCAGCGCCTCTCCTGACCTCCGACCTGGAGCCAAAGCCTCTGGTGGCTCTGAAGTCGTCTCTTCGCCAGCTTCCCCCTCTCACCCTCCCCAAACCCGTGCTGCTGGAGCGTCAGCTGGTACTGGATGAGAAGCTTCTTAACCGCCTCCTCTGGTACTTCACCACAGCTGAGAAATGTGTGCTGGCACAAGTGTGCAAGACGTGGCGTAAGGTGCTGTACCAGCCAAAGTTCTGGGAGGGTGTGACACCCATCTTACATGCCAAGGAGCTGTACAACATTCTGCCTAATGGGGAGAAGGAGTTTGTCAGTTTGCAGGCCTTTGCTCTGCGTGGCTTCCAGTCTTTCTGTTTAGTTGGGGTGTCGGACCTCGACATTTGTGAGTTCATTGACAACTACCCACTTTCCAAGAAGGGGGTTCGTTCTCTCAGCCTCAAGAGGTCTACCATCACAGACGCTGGTTTGGAGGTAAGTTAGCATGTGTTTTGGTTAGTGCAGAGATATTTCATCTGATACACACCACAACCTATTTATTTAACAGCCTGTCCCAGATTCATCAACATTTTGTGTGGCTTTTCAAGAGCAATTTTGGGCTTTGCAACTCTAATTCAAAAAGTCAGCTTTGTGCCACTAACTTGGCACTCTGTTGCAGTTTTTTTCCCCACATCTATGGTAATGCACAGTTGACTTTTTTTAAAGTGATATACCATGTTATGTCATTCCCTCATCAAAAACATACCAAGTATTGCGTTGACTCATTCATGCATGTTTGATAAATTTGAACTTCCTGTGGTAGCCATGTGGAGCTGCCTAAATGCTTGCTGGGAGCTCAAACCCCAGCCAAGCACGTCCCTGGAGCTCAGTCTGCATTCGAGCTGCTGCCTCACAGAGCACCCCTGAAGGTAACATACAGTAGTTACTTGATTGTGATAATGGAAGATACCTAATACCCCCCCTTAAATTGCATATCAAAATAATATTTCGAAGATAAGGAGTCCTTAACGGAACATTGATGAAACATTTCAAATTAAAATAGCATTCTGGTGAGCAGGAGAAATGCACCAAATAGTTTCCTGTGCATTGTGGGTAATGTACATTTATTTGAGGAATGCTAGGCCTTTAATCGATTCAGAAACACGATTCTGAATGTGCTCTCACCATATATTGTTCATGTTGTTGATGTTTCAGGGGTGTCTCTGTGCTTCATCTGTTAAAACCTGCAAATGCAAGAAAATGTTCCCTTTTTTCTGTCACTGTGACTGCTGCTGTGTTTTTGACAGAAGGTCATGTATGGTAGATTGTGCAGGATGGACAGACAGACCCCTGAGTTCTGCTGCTCTGTGAGGCTAAAAGAGTATAAATTACTCACACCTGCTGAATTTGATGACATGTTTGCACCAGCTTATAAATGGTTTGATTTGATTTGGTTATGACTCAAAGGCAAAACAATTAAAGGGATACCCGATTAGTTGTAACATTAGACTTTATATGATAAAAAATATACTTGAACTGTAAAATAAAGACTGTAAAAATACTGTAGGATGTTCAGTTTTTATAATTTTTAAACTAAAAGTTTAAAAAATATATTACACGGACAGAGCCATTTTATTCACATGCAAAGCATTCTGGGTAAATGACATCAACTAGGTCATTGGCACAGCGAGCTAAATCCACCCTGAAGGTTAATCTTGGACAATATCTGATGATTGGCTCTTTTAAATGAAACCAGAGAGCGTTGACAGAGAGGAGAAGGTAGAAATGACTCAGTCTGTAACTGAAAATATGGATGGAGGACAACAGAGCTGCTTCATGGAAGAAGAACCTCAGCTTAGCCTGTTAGCTTTAGCATTAGCCCCGATGCTATTACCATATATATGTATTTGCTCAGCGCTACACATTCTTCTCTCATCACTGAGGTCCTCCATCCACATGACAGAGAGGGGCACACACACACGACTCAGCTGCAACTGAAAATATGGATGGAGGACCTCAGTTTAGCTTGTTTGTCGCACTAGCACCGAGCTAATATATATAAGGCAATATAGTGTGAGGGCTAGCGCAAAGGCTAACAGGCTAAGCTGAGGTTCTTCTTCCATGAAGCAGCTCTGTTGTCCTCCATCCATATTTTCAGTTACAGGCTGAGTCATTTCTACCTTCTCCTCTCTGTCAACGCTCTCTGGTTTCATTTAAAAGAGTCGATCATCAGATATTGTCAGAGCTTAACCTTCATGGTGGATATAGCTCGCTAGCAGCCTCGCACCGATGACCTAGTTGATGTCATCATTTACCCAGAATGCATGTAAATAAAATAGCTCCGTCCGTGTTAAAATATATTTTAAAAAATTTACAAAACTAAACAGCCTACAGTATTTTTTACAGTCTTTATTTTACAGTTAAAATAAATGTTTATCAAATAAAGTTTAATGTTACAACTAAACGTGGATCCCTTTAAGGAGAGCTAATGATGAAGAAAGTATGCCAAACTCATTACTTTGGAGTGATAGAGGACTTTAAATAGGTTAGTTTACAGCGGGGCACCTTATCAGTGCTATTATCAGTCTAATCAGAAGGTATTGGTTCTTTCTTCAGGGAGTTCCCACAACTTAAATTTGACCAGCTTAGCTTAGAAGATTCACATGATACACACAACAGTAAACTGACCTTAGAATGCACATAATATGCTATATTTCAGTCAGTTTTGCAGATTCATAAATTAGGTGTAGTTGTAACTGAGAATCGTTCACAACACATACTGAGTGCTACTCAGAGCACGAGATTTGACAAAAAAGTTTATTGACTTTGTGAGTCCTGTTTCATTTTTAGCAAAATATCTCATGAAACAATAGAGGGAGTTTAATAAAACTTTCAGAAAGTAATCATTGAACAAATATTCACAAGTGATTAACTTTTGAAGTCAGTTCAATTCAAGATGGCCACCACAGAGCTAAACTGCAATAGCCAACAGAAAAATGACTAATGGTGCGTTCACACCGAACGCGATTTCAGCTTCAAAATCGCAGCGAACGCTGAAGTTTGAAGCTCGTGCACTTTGAGGTCAGACGCAGGTCAGCTCTTGAAGCGCTGCACGGTAACAGCCTCCCCGCCCCTCCCTCCTCTGTCGGGCTCTGTTTAATGTCGGACGAGGAAGTGACTTTGCTTTATTTACACAGAGCAAGAGCGTGTCACGTTCATCAGATAATTAATTCATAATTAATTCACCAGATAATTCAGAGTAGAGGCTCACAGCTCGCTTTCAGGACTATTTTTCCAGTCCAATGAGTCGCTGCCACGCATTGCTGCGGATCAGGACACCGACTGCAGGCACTCATTTCAGCTAAAGAGCTCCTCTCCATCTGTTTCAGGTTAGTGGACATCATTCAGTAAACTGTCCCGTCGGGAAATATGTCGCTAYGTCACACAGTGGAGTCTCTCTGATTGGTTGACGCTGCGCGTCGAGCTGCAAAAGTTCAGATTTTCTAACTTCAGCGATTTGTGCCTCAGCGCGTCGAACGCTCAGATCGTTCAAATCGTGCTGCTCTAATCGCGCTTGAGGCGCCGCAGAACTTCCCGACGTTGCTTGAACCTCTGTCAGTGCGCCCCAGGGCAGCTGTGGCTACAGTGTAGTTTGCCATCATCAGTGTGTGAATGTGAGTGTGAATGGGTGAATGTCTGTTAGTGTAAAGCGCTTTGGGGTCCGGAGGGACTTGAAAAGCGCTCTATAAGTTCAGTACCATTTACCATTTACCAAGCGCGTCCACCATAGATTTTGTATGTAAACCTGCTGCTCCTGACGCTGAAATCGCGTTCGGTGTGAACGCACCATAAGGCTGTGTTTCGATTCAGGAGATGTCAGATGCTCATGCCACTGCCCCGGGCCGTTGGCTGTCCCAATTTGTAGGTTCCTAAACATGCGGCTGACTAATACGGCTGACAAAACCTCGAAAACATAGGCTGCATCTGAGTATCCCATGTGGTCGTCTATATCCCAGGATTCATTGCGCCGTCAGCAAACTAAACAGCAAAATGAAGACAGCTGAGTTTTTTTATTTAACTTTTTATTTTACAGCAGAGTTGAAAATTTATCATGGACCAAAGAGTTTGATGAGAAATGTAGGTTTTGCAATTTAGCTGATGAAATTTAAGCCGTGATGCGATATGAAACAAAATGAAATTACAAGTTATGATACTGGAGCTAAACCCAAATAATTAATGTTTTTTATTTATTTATTTATTTACGTGTAATGTTTTTCCTAATAAAACTGAATTTTGTGAAATTATACTGTGAAAAGACAACTGAAGCGATGTGACATAAAAGCGTGTCCCTATGGTAATAGGGCAGTGCGTGGTCACGCAAACATACATCATCTGTAGATTAGACCAGTGGTTCCCAAACTTTTTGTCTTCTGACCCACAAAATATCCATGGCAAAAACTTGTGACCCCAAATATTACTGGTCTGAGTACACAAACTTTGTTAATAACCCTAAAAACACAGGCTTTTTGACAATCTAAACAGCTTGTTCACACATAAATACTTATTTATACTTATTTTGTGTTTTTGTAATAATTATAGGGAAAATATTACATCAGCAATTATTTTATTACCTTCTAAATTGATTTCTGGAGATTATCCATGGTGCTTCATGGCCCATAATTGGGTCCCAAGATCGCAGTGGTTCCCAAACTTTTCAGCTTTTGACCCACAAAATAACAGTAGCAGAGACCTGTGCCCGCAACTATTTTTGGATGATAAACATTTGTATCAGGTCAACAAAACATGATGAGCATAGTAACAATATTTTTTATACTACATTTCTCTATTTTAAATAAACTAACCTCGCTCCTTAGTAACAACAAGGCAAAAATGTAATTAATTCAGAAAATCTTTTCAGGACCCCATCTTGATGTTTCAGGACCCCACTTTGGGTCCCGACCCCAACTTTGGGAAACACTGGATTAGACCATCTCATTTCACAGCTAACACAAGCAACCTACAGCCCACGTAGGGTGTGGCCAACGTAGGCTGCAAGACACAGCCCATATAAACTTTAGTCTGCTTTTACAGGTAATGATATAAATTGGTATGATAGTAGCTGAAAGTCATTCACAGCACAATAATCAATACAATGCATGAAACTGTGCATAGCGTTTTTTGTTTGTTTGATTTTTTAGGTTTGAGGCCTTTAATTTCTTTCTGTTCTTAGTGGTGTACTCATGACACAAGAATTTATGTCTCCATTTTCAGAAAATATGCTAGTTTTAAAAAGTGAGGCAAAATAAAAAATGAAAACATGAGAGCAGCATTGAGTGTTGTTACAAATGTCATTAAATATTGTGAAGGTTAACTTGTGCTGGTGTAGATTATCAGTCTTCTAGGGCATTGCTAACTGAAAGCCTTTCTCAGTGGAGAGTTGTTAGGGTCTTTGCTAGCCCGGCTCAAAAGAAAGATGTTTTGGTCACCTGCATGAT